CTTGTTTAATTATGGAGTGAATTGAGCATTCCTGGAACAGCTTCTTGTAGAAGCTAAAAGCAAAGGCCTCAACCCCATAGACCTGGATTATAATACAGACTCTGCCCCTGTTCTAGCTGGGTGACCGTGGGTGAGTTATTTCGTCTTGAAACTTCAGTTTCTTCATCTGTCCAGTGGGCATGGTCACACCTGTGTTCTAAGGCAGTTATACAGAGGAAATGGGAAAACACGTGTTAAACAATCTGCTGCTCAGTCACCAGGATAGGAGCCCTGCCTGTCTGCACACTGCTCAGAGCCTGGGTGGGGGTTGCAGACTGGTTTGGGTAGAGCGTAGACATAACTGTAGGAAGTGATGTCTAAGCAGGGACCTGAGGGCTCAGTAGGAGTTCGGCAGGGAGGGTGTTCCAGGCAGAGGGAACAGCCTGTGCGGTGTGCCCCGGAGCAAAGAGGAGGAGAGGCTGGAGAAAGAAATCTCAGCAAGACCATCAAAGGCCACATAAACCGTGCTTTGAACACCAGTTAGGAGGCTATTGCATTAATTCAAATACAAAACTTTGGTGCTCTAAATGGGAGACAAAGCAATGAGGATGTGGAGCTGTCAATGGATTTAAGAGAGATTTAGGAAGTAGAAGTGGCAGGATTTGGTGATTCACTGGGTGTAGTCTACGGGTTCAGGCAGCATGGATTCAACAGCTATTTATTGAGTGTGCCATCTGTTCCCTGCAGGACCTTGACTGATTGACTTCCTTATCAACCGCTAGGCCAAATGTCCAGCAAACCTCATTCATTGTCCATTCTCATGCATCCTAGAGGCCAGGTTGCTTTTGTGTGGGGCAGGCCTTGCTATGGAGTGTGCTTGGGGGTAGCCCTGGGCCATTCTTGTTTTAGAAAAGCCAGGACTTTAAAGAGAGCTGTCAACACTTGAGGATGTGAGAGTTAATTACCAGTTAGTGGATTCTCTCAGTCTTTAGACTCTTCTCCTTCCTCTGAAAGTCTGCTTTGTAATCAATGTGGTGGCCTAAAGAAAGGGTCAGAGAGGGACAATCACCCAACAGAGCTACTGCCATGTGGTCTTTGAATGAGCTGAGCCAATAGAGGACCACGGTGGGAGAGACCCTGAGCCGTCATCTCTCCTTCAGAGGGCCTTTTATAATCAAGCTTTGGATTCTTTGATGCTAAAATCTGTTTAAAATCCCCGATCCCTTACAAACAAATGGCAAGCAGAGGCAGTGCATAGTGGGAGGGATGGCAGGGAAAGGAGCCTAGAATTTAAGACAGTGCCTGGACAGGGAACGACTATGGTGGTAGGGAATCAGAGCCCCCTCTTCACGGTGTTGGAGAACAACAAATAAAGAACTCTGAGTTATTCTGAAGTTCCTTTTTGATCACCAGACATACCATTCTGAAACTGGGCCACGTAGGTCACTATTTTAATAAGTTTTATATTAACAACAGCAACAAAAATAGCCGACATTAAATGCATATTGTGTGTGAGGCCCCATACCAGGCAGGGAACTTCATTTCATTTGTTCTACACAACGATGCTATTAGGGAAGTAGGACAATTGTTCCCATTTTGCAGATAAGGAAACTGAGGCTCAGAAAGTCCATGTAACTTGCTCAGTGTTCTACTGCCAATACGTAGTGGAGTTTACCAGGGGAAGAGCATGAAAATTAGGATGTTTGGGTTTTGATAGAAGCTGACAGCTCAACAATTTATTATTTGTGGGAAGTTTTGTGTTTGGTTATGAGAAAATAATGCTAATCAGGTATGCTGTGTGAATACTGTTTAATATTTATTTTAAAGCAATTAAATAGTGGTTTACATGCTCCCCGAGAGGTCTTTACAAGGAGACGAAGTGCCCATTCATCCGGTTTGACCTCTGATGGCCCCTTCAGTACATATAGCCCCTCTGTGGGGGGGTCTTGGCACCCCCAGCATACAGCAGCTCTCTTGAATTAACGGCACCCCAGAAGACAAGCCAGGTGGGCTTCTCATTGAAATCTCCCTCCTTGAGCCCGTGCACTCTGTGCTTTGCTCTTCCTAAAGCATGCGGCTGGTGAGAAGGATGCTAAGCCGGCTTGCAGACTGCCCGACTCCACCATCCCAGAGCCCCAAGGAAGTTTCTCTCTCGGGAGCCAGCCCAGCCAGTTTGGCTCTGGTGGACAAGTCTGAGCTGGATGAAGGAGCAGGAAGTGCTAGTTCCTGCTCTGCACGCAGTGATCCTCAGCTCTTTGTAGAATAACCTGTCCAGCCAGAGAGGAGAACCCCCCAGCAAACTGGCCGGACAGCACTGCCCATCTCAGAAACCTGCTTGAGAGCTTGTGTTCTTTGCCTGGATTTTTGAAATTCCTTAATTGGAGCAGTCTTGGGAATATCTTCAGATGTCACTTCTCTGGCAATGATTTTGCTAGCCCGCAATGTTCACCAACTCCCACGGTCCCTTAAGTGAGGAGCCTGACTAATTGAGAGACATCCTGCAGCTCATGCCCCCTCTCTAGGTCTCAGGTTCTTTATCTGTAAAATGAAGTGTCTAGGTTCAGGGAGCCTGTAGTTTTGATTCAGTAGAATAAAATGGATAGTCTGTGCTACAAAAACAATGGAAATAATCATCTCTCCCAATTATAAAAGACTGAACTCACTAGATAGATACAGAGGGGTAACTGAGGCTAAGATGGATATCCTGATGTCCCAAGAGGGGAAGCCCAGGGCTTTTTCACACTTGAGGAAAGTCCCCAAACCTGGTAACCTAAACAAAACAGGCCCTCAGCTGATTTAGGGTCCCCCCAGCAGTACCCAAGCCCCCACCCAGCCCAGATAACAAGGGTGCAGAGGCATCAGCATTCCTGTAACATGATTCCCCTACTTTGAGTGGCATCAATGAAAGGAAAGAACCTAGAGATGGTGGTGGAACGGGCCTTATGACCTGTGTGGCCTTCCTTCTCTTTACCAAAGATGGGAAACTGAGGCCCAGAGAGTTCACGTCCCTTGCTTGAGGTCTTCCAGGTTTGGAGCTGAGCCCATCGGCCACAGTCTCCGCTGCCAGCCCAGTACCAGAATGGAGAGGAAGGGAATGTTCACCTGTGCATCACCTCTCCTTTAATCCACCCTAGGGAATTCACTCCCCATTTAGTCAGGGTAGACAGCCTGCGATTTCCATGAGTGATTTAGGGCCAGCGGATTTCATTTCAGGAGCCCTTGCCACTTCAACGTCTGCCTTCCGGTCATCGTGAATTACCACGGTGTGCTAGTCCAGAAACCCCAAACAGTGTATGATCAGCGTTACCAACCCTGGTGAGGGAGAAAAAAGAACTTGTGTGCCTGTGAAGAAGTCATCATTTGGATTTAAATCAGCCCCGGCTAAAATAATCAAGGGACCTCGGGTCCTATGAAAAGGTCAAAGGTTTGCAGGTTTAGGGTTTCGTGGGAACATGCGCGTGTTTGGACTGGACCCAAGTGCCTGGTTGACCTGTTTGACAGGTAACAATTAGAGAGTAGGAGCTTGCCTGGCTGGAATGTGGCTGCAGAGGCCGGTGTGGAGGATCTGGTTTACCTGCTCGGCAGGTGGGGCCTGCCGAGTCCGACAGGCATGTGCACGCACAGCATTCCAGAGAATCGGTTTTCTTTTAAAGACACAGCCATGACTGCAGGGCACAAAGGGTTGGGTTGAGCCCTGGCTGGAAGCCGTTAGCTATTTGCAAGGTAAAGAAGCAAAATAAATAGTTCTCTTTAGACAGCTCAAGGAAGAAATTGCAAAGGCGTTCGGGACTTTTTTTTTTAATGTCTAAAACGAATATGTGCTTCTTGTCTCGAGACTTGAGAAAACCCAGACTGGTACAAAATGCCAGAGATAATAGAATTGAAAAGTCGCTCCCCCGTTCCCGGAGTTTTTTTTTCCTTTTTCTTTTTAAAGAGGTCATAGTATTATTGAGAACAAAAGATAGGCTCCTTGAAGGATGGTGTTTGGCTTGAGACAGTCTAGAAATGTTTGCTATTTTTCTTAGCACAGCTGTAGAAGACACCCAGGAAAGCAAAGTTCTGGGTTTTTCCTCAATAAATTGTACATAATCTGTATATTTTGAAGGTTAAAAATACTGTTTCGATAAAACAGAATTAAAGAAAGTAATTTGGTGTTTAAAATAATAGAAGGAGATTGGGATAATATTATATACATAATATACAGTATAATGGAGAGTCCACACAGACGTGGAGCCATCTCCATAACATGGCTTGCTTGTGATTCAAAGGGGTTTTTGGTAGTATCACTTCAACTTCCCTGTATCATATTTGTCATTAATGAGAAGGGGAAAATCAAGCCAAGGGAGACTGGGACCTGAAAATTGCAATATTATAAGGATCATTGCTAAAACAAACTCAAAACTCTGAAAATTTCCAAGTAATTACTTTTTTTTAACTTACCAAGTTAGTTTGCTAAAAAATAAAATTCCCCTTCTTTCACATTGTCTCTCCTCGTTGCAGAAATTATTTAAGTGACCTCCAGATAAATGATGGGTGCATCCTGTTCCTCTGTGTGCTCTCAAAACTCTGAAGTCCCAAGATAGAGTCCCAGGACGCACATCCCTGAGCTCCTGGTGTAAGGTGGGAGAGGCAGGAAGAACTGACAGCTGGTGATTACACTGAAAGCACCTTGCCAGTTCAAAGAGTTAATTATAGTGAAGCAGAGGATCTTAAAATTCAATTGGCAGAAACAAACAAGCAAACAAAAACTTAGCTGTCTCTTTGTGGACTGTTGCTGATGGTAAAACAGCTGCTAATGTGTCAAGTTAACTCTTTAGGTGTTTGTGTAAGGTGAATATTATTGTGTGCAGACCATTTACCAGAACTGATCAAAAGTCAGTAATAATAATAATCCTGAAGAGTCAGAACAATAAGAACTTACAGTTACTGAGCTCTTGCTATGTGCTATGTGCTGTGCTAAACTGTCTACATTTTCTCCACAATAATCCTGAGACAGGTATTATCATGATCTCCATTTACAGGCAAGGAGGTGGAGGCACAGAGAAGTTCCAGAACTTCCCTAAGATCATACTGTTGGTAAGTGGCAGAGCGAGGATCTGAACCCAGGCAGTTAATTTGTTCATTCACAGTTTTGAACTCCTCTTCTGAGACAGGCACGGTGCTGGGGGTTCACAAGACCATGATGAACTCTTAGTGTTGGTCCTTCATGGACAACTTAGACTTCACGGAGTCTAATGTTTGTTTCTGACTCCAATACCAGCTTTCTTCATAATCCTCTGGATGGTCTCTTAGTGGTACACACACTTTAAAGTCTGCCATTGTCTGTGACCCCACCCATTACCATACCAGAGACCACGACCTTCACCTCTGCCATTTCCTGGCTATGCTGGGACACCCTCAGTAGCAGTGTCTCCGTGCAGCAAAGTACAATGGCCATTTTCTAGGGCATATACGACATGTACACTCCAGGCCTGCTTTCTTTGCCTAATTAGTGTGGGAGCAGTAAACTCAAATTTGCAAGTCCTGTGAGGAGAGCTTACTATGGGCGTGAGAAGCCATTCTGATTTCTAAGTATCTTATCAATAGCAAATATTTGCATGTTGGTTTTCACCCCTTGATAATTAGAACCTGATCTTCACAGATTCTGACATAATGATCGCTTCCTGTGAATCCTGAAAAAAACAAAGCAAAATTAGCTTGCACTTTACCTACACATAGGGAAGCACCTTAAAGGGGTTTCCTTATCCTATAGCATTGCACACTTCCCCACAAGGTGGTTTATTTCCCAACTGAAATTTCCTTCTGATAGTGTACATAAATCCTGAACTTTGTGCTCTTTGACTAATTCATCCCTTGCGTGCCTTTGAGCAAACTCTGAAGGACAGACGTGGCTTCTCTGGCAATGACCAACTTTCAGTGGCCATGGAAAGGGTGAATGACCACTTACTTGGGGTAGAGTAATACTAATGAGTGGTAATAGTGATAAGTATACTGAGGGCCTGCTCTGGGCTAGTCACTGTGCCAAACGCTCTACATGCATTGTCTCATTTAATAATTACAGTGGCCATAGGTATGTATTATGATTACAAGTAACAAGGAAGGAAGCTTGTTCGCAAAATGTAAATAACTTACTTGAGGTCACACAGCTAACAAATGGCAATGCTAAGATGCAGAACCAGACCCATCAGGTACTAGAGTCTGCATCAGGCAGGATGTGGAAGCAAAAGGCTATTTGGTCTTTAAGGTTTTGTGATTGAGATGTTCTGCTCTACTCTGCTTTGAACAAAGAATATCAGAAGTGTTACCTTGGGTTCCTCTGGTCACGGTACTTTAAGTGGGAAAATAAACAATCTGAAGCAGGTTTTAAGGCTAATAACCAGAGTGGAGAGATGCTCAAACCATGTCATGTGAGGAGAGTTTAGGGAACCAGAAATATTCATAGGCAGGAGTTGAGGAGACTAGGGCTGGGGAATTGGGAGGGAGAGTAGGCTAATTGGCTTCAAACAATTGAAGGACTGTCCGAGGCAAGAAAGACTAGGCTGGTGTTGTGTGGCCAATGAGGACCAATAAGAAGAAGTTGGAGAGGAACATATTTTGATCCCATATACAGATGTTTATTATCCCTCAGACTGGAAAGTGGTGGAAAGAATGTTTGAATGCCAGTTCCATCACTGCAGTAAGCATTTATTGTTTTTCTTTCCAGAGTCCTTTCCTCTTTATTCTGAAAGCAATGGTCTGATTTCCTTTGGGGAAATAACATTTCCTCATTAAGAGCAGTCTAGGTGGGATAATCAGTCAAGTTGTACCATTCACCCTGGGCCAAGAGTTGAGCATGTGACCCAAGTTGGCCCAGTCAAATTCTTTTTCCTAGGACACTCTATCTTGAGCTGAGTAACATAAGCATGGAAACATGGCTGGGGCTGATTCTTCCCTGAGCAGAGCCCTGACCCAGGAGGACACCAAAATACTAGAAACACACTTATGTATTAAACATCTCCTTCAGGCCGTGTTTTCCCACCGTTTTCTTCCAGACTTTAAGAAGAATCATCAAGAATTATATCTCAAACCTAAATTCCTTACGACATGATTTGCCCTTAAGAATAGGATTATTACCATCCCTGGTCCTACCCTTCAACATTCTCTCAATTTTATGAGCTACCTATGTCTTCCCAATAAATTCTCTTTTTACTTAACTTAATAGAAATGTTTTTCTAATGTCAGCAAAGTGTTCTAACTGACACAACCATTAACTAGATGTGTGGCTATGATCTTGGAAAACAATTTCACCTCTCTGAGCCCTAGTTCCTTCATTTGAAAATAATCCCAGTAGGTTTTAGAGTCTAACATGAGATAGCATCTACAAAGAGAAAGGCACATACTAGGTGCTCAACAAGTGCTGGTTGGCTTCTGTTTCTCCTCTGAAATATAAATGTTCTGTTTTCAGAAAAATTGAGAGAGATACTATATGTAAGGTAGTGCCTAGCACATAGCAGTGCTCAATAACTGGTAGCTATGGAAATGATGTGATTATAATTTTCTGGCATGGGAAGTATTCAGTCTGGACTGGAAAATCATTGGCCAGGGATATACAGAGGTTATTCAACCATGGGATGGGTGTTTGGACATGATGACCTCATTTTTTTCCTACACTAAGAGTCTGTGATTCTATATTAGAGAGATTTAGCATTGTCTTTAAGGATGTGCAGCTCCTTTAAAGCAAAATGGCAGAGACAATAGGCTTGGTATGAGGACTGAACATGGTTGGGAAGATCTCTGGGGCTGATGTCCAAGCCAACACTGAGGAGGGGTCACTAACCAACCTGCCCGGAGAGAGCTCTGACGATCACCCAGGTTAGTGTCCATAAAGACTAACTCACTCAGTGCTTCCACCATGGTTTTGTCTTAATTAGGAACAGAGACTCATTCAAGTTGTTCCAGAAATAATGGACTTTATTGAAAGGACACGTATACATGGGAACTCTGGAAGAGCCAAGGAACCCAGCCTCAAGAAAGGCAGAAATTAAGGCAACTCTGTGATAAGCTCTTTTCACATTTCCAGTTCTCCCCCTCACAGCAAAGTCTCTCTCTTTATATTGCCTCCTTTATCCTCTTCCTTGCCAGCTGGCTATTTCTTGTTATCTGTCCATAAATGGCCATTCAGTCCCCAAATCTGCATGATCTTCTGGGTCCAGCCACCGTAACTAACGAACCTCTGGGTGTCTTTACCTAAATCCTGAGAGACAGATTTGACTGGCTTAGCTGTTGAGCCAGGCTATGTCACAGGCTACCGATGCGCCATCCCTGAGATCTGTGTCCTCACCAGGTACAATCAGCTGAGTCTGGGGAGACAAGCTCACCTCCTCTGCTACCCACTCAGCAGGAGATGTGGACTGGTCAGGAGACATTAGCAATATTTGGTAAGAGGCATCTTACCTGTGATGATACCAAAATATAAGATACATTCCTGTATATTAAACATCTCCTGTAAGGTATATTTTCCCACCATTTTCTTCCAGTCTTTAAGGAGAATCTCCAAGGCTTATATCCTCAACCCAAATTCCTTAGATGTGGTTTGCCCTTGAAGCAAATTTCCCGTGACAACATGGAAATCTCCCTTCTGTGGTGGGTACACAAGTCAACATTGAAGCAACTGGGTCTTCAAACATGTGGTGTAAAATTGAGCTAGCACTAAAGTGTTTCAACTGAAAGGCTCTGGTTTCCAGTTGAAGGAGAAGTGGAAGGAGGACCTAAGGCCATGGGAATGGGAAGAAGACGACAATAAGAAGTAAAGGGAGCTGAGTGAGAGAGCCAGGAAGGAACGAGAGGTCAGACGGGAGCTGCAGCTAGGAGTGGGAGGAAAGCCAGTGAAGACGAGAAACCAGATAAGAACTGCTGCTCCCACTTTGGGTCCCAGAATACCTAGCGTGAAACTAGAAAAAGAGTACAGAGAGTCAGGTAGACTGAGAGAACTGGGCTGGGTGAGGGCTCGACCCCAGTGATTGTATTGAGTGCCAGCTATGTACTAGGCATGTAAGATCTCTCCTAGGCTTGGAGCTGTGTTTATTGTTAGACTCTAATTGTCAACTTGCATTCAGTTTGAACACTTGTAAGTTCTTAGCTACTATGGTCTCATGGACTCTGACTAAAGAAAAGTTCAGGGTAAGAAGGAGGATATATTTCTAAGACCAGCGAAATGTCTAAAACCATAGGTAACACAAGGGAGAGTGGAACGCTCTAGAAAGGTCCTTGAACCTAATATTCCTTGAGAAATTTTGAAAGCCAACCCACAGATTGCCCTGTAATTTGTCATAGTCTTGCATGCCATTCACATGCCTGTGGGATCCAACCCCAGGGCTGGACTTGCATCTTTCCAATTTGTTTTGAAATACTCCTTTGACACAGTGTCTCCAAGAAAACATTACCACAAGTTTCTCTTAGGAGTAGGAAGTTTAATGGATTACCCTGGGCTAACGAGAGGATTCTGGGCCCGGAATTCTGGGCCCACACTCTTCAAGTCTGAGGATTAATCCTCTTCTAAGGGGTGGGTAAGCCTCTGCTGGTTGATTACAAATGTTCCAGATAGAAATCTTTAAGGCAGGAACTTTGCGAACAACAAAAACAACCACAGAAAAACTCTATAGAAGGCCTTACCTTAACTCATTACTTACTCAACTTTGTGAATTTTGAGGACTTAATGAGGCATTTTAAATAAAGAAATAAGTTACTTAAAGGCTAAGGATATGTGGGACCAGCTTAAATTGGGCAATGAGAAACCTAAATTGCCCTTTCAGAATATTATTCACCCTATAAAAACAAATCGTATTTGTTCCCAGTAAACATGTCAGGACAGCAGCTGGATAAGACAAGTGTAGACTGGTTGCTGTCCAATCTGCCAACTTTCAGATAAAAGACCGGGATCTGATAAGCGACAGATTACCCTGAGAACATTTGCGGCGGGATCGTTTCTGCTTCATCATTTCAGTGCCAAACGTGTAAGTGTATCAATAATAGTTCAAGACAACTGCTGTTCTCACAATGTATTTACGTTATTCATCTAAAGGGGGAAAAGCTCTTAAATTGTAACCCGTGACCTGTCAAACTTACATGAGTGGTCCTGGTGCTTGCTTGTTAAGGACCAGAGCAAGGCCAGATCCCTGAACCATAAGTAAAAGTACTTGTATCCTATTCATGAGCAGATCCCTTCTCCTCTCCACACATCAGTTAACACATTCATAATAAGGAGCGAATTAGCCTACTTCAGTGTGTCCCACACTTCAGCAACTTGCATATGATCTTGCAATTTTTCTGATATCATCATACCGTCTGTAATATTATTTACTGATTTTTTTCTTTACAGCAACTCACTTTTTAAACATTTAAATAGAATATTTTTTAAATAAAATCATCAATCTCTTCCAAATCAGTTTACGTATGGATTCATAGCTTTTTTTAAAAAAAGATTTTATTTTTCCTTTTTCTCCCCAAAGCCCCCCGGTACATATTTGTATATTCTTTTAGTTGTGGGTCCTTCCAGTTGTGGCATGTGGGATGCCACCTCAGCATGGCTTGACGATTGGTGCCATGTCTGCACCCAGGATCCGAACCTGCGAAACCCTGGGCCGCCAAAGCAGAGCACCCCAACTCAACCACTTGGCCACGGGGCTGGCCCCTGGATTCACAGCTTTTATGGGCTAATTATTTTTTCTAATATCAATTGAAACAAATACATAGCTATTAAAAGAAGAAATGTTGGCCCATTTGAAAAAAACAAAGCTAAAAAAACATCTTGTGTAACCGTGAGTGGCATGTAGATCACATTTTGGGAAATACTGCCTGGCTATAAGGATGATGCTAGGGGTGAATGAAACTTGATGCCATCTGCCCAGTTCATCCCTGGAAGAGGCTGATGGGTTCGAGCACTCAGTAATTGGCTGATCGATCTTGGGTTAGTCACTCACCTCCTACAACTTCATTTCCTCATTGGAGGAAGTTGGACTAAATAGACGTGGAGTTCCTTTCTGTCGCTAGCAATCTGATTTCCCAGGATTCTGTTGCAGGCCCAGCAGTGCAGCAGGAGACGCTGTCAAGAGCAGTGTGGCTGTGGACACGAGTAGTCCTCTGGCACCACACCACGCACGTGCTTCATCTTCCTGGAATTTTGCAGAACTTTGCTTTTCCTTTCACCTGCTGTGGTTAGAGAATACTCCTCCCACCAGTGAATGGAAGGAAAAGCCCGCTTTCTTGAGTTGGGATGAGTTGCAGTGGAAAAAAAGGCCAGTAGGAAAAAGGAATTTGGAAGATGGCTTTGAAAGATTGCCAATTTGACCCCTCCTATTGCCTCCTCTCATCTAACTACCCAACCACTCTGGAATGACCTTGGGGAAAAGGAAAACCGAATTTGATTACTCAGCACCTAAGAGCTCAGTGATGATAAACAATGAGAACAATAATTAATAATGTGTTATTGTCTAATAAAGTAATGGCAAGTCAGCTCACCTCACTGAGCCTTTATTTCCTCATTTGAAAAAGACAGAATTTGGACTAGATGATTTGTGACACTTATGCCGGCTCTGAAATTCTTTGATTGTATGACTTCAACTTTTATTTTTTAAACAAAAATGTGCTAGATTTTAAATTCGATAGAATCCTTTTGAAAAATCCAGCATTAGGGGGCCGGCCCGGTGGTGCAGCAGTTAAGTTCACATGTTCCACTTTGGTGGTCCGAGGTTCGCCGGTTCCGATCCCAGGTGTAGACTTATGCACTGTTTGGCAAGCCATGCTGTGGCAGGCATCCCACGTAGGGGAATATGGGCACGGATGTTAGCTTAGGGCCAGCCTTCCTCAGGAAAAAAAAAAGAGGAGGATTGTCAGCAGATGTTAGCTAAGAGCTTATCTTCCTCAAAAAAAAAAAAATCCAGCATTAGGAGGCAAGAATAAAGTTATGTTTTAGGATAATCACCTATTAAACGTTTACATGTGTAATTTTTGTAAGTTTTTGGAACTATGCTACGGTCAGTGGTACAACAGAATCTAAATGTCACGTGTCTGTTATTCATTATTTCATACATTTACTCAGTCATTCTTTCTTCAGACATGCACTGCACACCTATCATGTACCAGGAGCAGAGTGTGGTGATTCAGAGTGTAATCCTGGAGGCAAAACAACTTGGGATGGAATCCATTCCCACTACATGTTAGCTCTGTGACCTTGGGTAGGTGACTTAATTTCTTTAAGCCTTGGTTCCTTTATCTATAAACCAGAATGACAATATATTGACCTAATTATAGAGTTATTGAAGATGAAAAGAGATGGCAAGAGGAAAATCTAGTGCCCAGAATACAGGAAGCGCTCAGTCAATGGTAGGTATCATCCTCTTCATCGCCATTGTTCGGGGCTGAATCATTTCCCCCCCAATTCATGTGTTGAAGTCTCAACCCCCAGTACCTGAGACTGTGACCACACTTGGAGATACGAACTTTGAAGAGGTAATTATGGTAAAATTAAGTCATCTGATCTTAATGCAATATGACTAGTGTCCTTATAAGAGGAGATCAGGTCACAAAGACACAGGCAGAAGACAGCCATCCATAAGCCAAAGAGAGAGGCCTCAGAATGAAATTAACCCTGCGGACACCTTGATCTTGCATGTCTAGCCTCGAGAACTGTTAAAAAACAAATTTCAGTTGTTTAAGCCGCCCAGTCCGTGGGGTTTGTTATGACAGCCACAGCAGACTATTGCGGTCCTCACCATCCCTATCACCATGTGCTGGGATTCAAAGATGATTATGCCATTAACTCTTTTTCAGTGAACTCACAATCTAATAGAGAGAGACAAGCGTGTGGGCGTATATTCTTTACAATACAGGCTTATAAGGACAAAAATAGAGGTCTGTACCCATTAGAGGACGGGAGAGGAATGCTTTACAGCATAGAGGGTGGGAAGGTACCTAAAGGAGAAAAAAGGCAAAGGTTATAAAGGATGCTATGTCTGAAAAGGTCGAGGAAAGTCACTTGGTAAATAAGGTGGGACAGGGCATTTTAGGCAAAGGGACAGCATATATAGTGGAGTTCATGTATAACAAGGGACATTCTTTGGGATTTACTATTTGGGACTCATTGGTGCTGGAACAAGGGACCTCACCTCTTTGTGATGGAGAGAAAGTAAGTCCTAATCCAAACAAAGTGAGACGCTGTTAATCAGCCTGACCGCTGGTGCCTGAATGCTCATTTCTACTGTCCAGATGAGTTAAGGCGGGCACGAAAAGAGAAATCCTGTTTTGGCCCACCACAAGCATTTAGCAGGCCTAGTGTTTTTAGTTTGCAAGCTAAGGTAACATGACACTTCAGCTTTAGCTCAGAAAAGACAAAAGGACAGTGAGAATGGGGGAGAAATAGCGTACTTGAGAGGAGGCGGTTAAAATGTAATCTGTTTGCTGTGGTGTGTACATATGTGGGGATTTAAAACATATAAAAATATGATTATAACTGGCTTCACATAAAGCCCTCATCATAAATTTAAAAAAATTATGCCTTTAAATGAACCACAATAAGCAAGGTGGGGCGGTATTATTATTCTCTGCCTGCTCATGGATTCTTGAGGATTAATGAGCTAATGTCTGTAAAGCTCTCTAGCAATGCAGAAGAAAAGAACTGGAAAACCGGGAAGTGTTACTATCTCCTCCTCAACCTCCTGCAAAGCTCAAACACCAAACACAAAACAGTCTGTCTTAGCTTTTTATCGTTTTTAATATAATAAAAACCGATTAAAGAACATTTTGTTAAAAGACGAAAAAGATTCCCCATTTTACTAATATGGCAAATTTTATTGCTCTATAGTTCCTTCATCTTTAGTCTGATTCGTCTATGGTTGTAATTATTTATATACTTTATATTTTAAATACTTATGTATTTTGCATTAGCTTTTTTGTTTTTACTTAACATATACAATTTGTTCATGTTGCTACCCAATCTTCATAATAATTTTTAAAGTTATTATGTTGATATATAATTTATATACCATCGAATTAACCCATTTTAGTATATGATTCAAGAACTTTTAGTAAATTTATACAGTTGTCCAATCATCACTAAAATCTAGTTTTTGAACATTTCCGTCACCCCAAAATTCCCTTGTGCCCATTTGTACTTTCCAGTTTCATTCCCTGCCCCGGGGAACCACTGACCTGCTTCTGTCGTAGATTTGTGTTTCCTAGAAATTTTAAGTAAATTTATGTCTGGCCTATTTCACTTAGCAAAAAGTAATTGAGGACCAACCACATTGCAGTAGGTGTCCGTAGTTGGCTCCTTTTTATTGCTGAATAACATTTTGTTGAATGGATATACCACACTTCGTTAACCCACACTGCAGTGACAAACACTTGGATTGTTTCCAATGTTTGGTTGTTATGAATACTGCTGCTATGAATATATGTCTTTGTGTGGACATGTTTTCATTTTTCTTGGCCAGATAACTATGAGTGGAATTGCTGAGTCATATGGTAACTTTGTGTTTAACTTTTTTTTTTGCTTGAGGAAGATCGGCCCTGAGCTAACATCTGTGCCAATCCTCCTCTATTTTGTATGTGTCACCCCTACAGCATGGCTTAATTAGTGGTGTAGGTCCACACCTGAGATCCAAACCCACAAACTGGGGCCACTGAATGGGAATACGTCGAACTTAACAACCATGCCACTGGGTCAACCCCCATGTTTAACTTTTTAAAGAAACAATCAACTGTTCCAAAGTGTCTGCACCATTTTACATTCCCACCAGCAGTGTATGGAAGGTTCCAATTTCTCCACCTCTTTGCCAACACTTGTTATTGTCTCCTTTTTGATTACGGCCTTTAAAGTGGGTGTGAAATGATATTTCATTGGTTTCAGTTTGCATTTCCCCAATCTCTAATGATGTGGCCCATCTTTTTGTGTGTATCAGCCTTTTATATATATTCTTTGGTGAAATGACTATTCAGATCTTTTGCCTGTTTTTAAATTAGGTTGCTGGTCTTCTTATTACTGAGTTGTAAGAGTTCTTAATATATTCTGGCCTTACCTCCTTTGTTAGATATATGATTTGCAAGTATTTTCTCACAGTCTGTAGCTTTTCTTTTCATTTTCTTAGCGGTACTTTTTTGAAGAGGAAACGTTTTTCATTTTGATGAAGTTCAGTTTACCAATTTTTTTCTTTTATAATTCGTGCTTTTGGTATCATACCTAAGAAAGCTTTCTCTAATCAAGGTCACAAAGATTTTCTCCTGTGTTGTATCTTAAAGTGGATGGAGGTGGCCCATTTTACAGGCAGGACAAAGAATTAGGAGCTTCATAGAACTGCCATGAAATTAAAGATCAACCACTGGAGGAGACCAGAAAATGATTCTGACTGTTTAATTATTGTCTCCTTGCCTTCTTCAGTCTCTCATTAGTAATTACCAAACGAAGGGAAAGCTTTCTAATTTTGTCTGATGTTATATTTTGAATGTGAAGAGTCATTTGAAGTCTTTCCAGAAGGCTCAGTGCTGAGTGTTTGCATTCTCCATAGACATTCTCACTCTGTACGTCTTTTCCACACTCCCTTCCCTCCTAAGCCCTTTAAACCAAGGACACGACACCTCCCGCTCCCTTGGCCTGGAGTGTGGACTGAGAGAAAGACCTCGGGATGGGTGACAGAGTACACAACGGTGGGGCTGTCCTGCAAAACAAAGTGAGCATCTCTGCTGGCGAGGAAATGCCAGCACAACTGACCTTCTCGCTCAGAAAAGCAGTGCACACAAAGCAGCTGGGGCTCTGCCTGGGAGCCTCCAGCTCAGAGGAATGGAGCCTCTGAGCTGGGCCAAGCAGGCCCCATACAGGTGGCCCAGGCCAGGAGAGCTGGGGTGTCTGCTTTGTCCAGGCCGGAATTTGGGCTGCCTGGCCCAGTCTCGGCCCACTCTCAGTCAAAAGCTGGCATTGATGAGGGCAGTGGGTCCTGTTTCATTCCAAGGCTGTGCCCTGAAACAGCACGAGGCTGAAAGTAGCTCTTCCTTCCCTGGGGAGATGCTGAGAATGCACAAAGCTACAGCCGCACGCCCCCCTTTCCGACCACCTGCAGACAGGACCAGCCCTACAGTCCAGGCTATTTCCTCTGCCCAAAATGACCTCCCCCCCCATCTGCCGTTCTTCTCATCACAGCTCAAATCCCGTCTAAATCATTGATTCTACGTGAACGCTAGGCACACGTCCCGATCTGAGAAATTGTCCCAGGTCTCCCTGGTGTGAATCAACCCCCCTCCCCAGTGCTCTCGTAGCACTTTGTCCCCATCTCTCTCGGAATTTCTACACTGCTGGGCTGTCATTCTGCTCTGCCCTCGGAGGCCCAGCTCTGCGGCTTCTCCTCTTACTCTTGATTCTGAGCTTCTATCTTCCAGTCTCTAGCTCTGCAAGCTGATTCTGATCTCGTGGCTCTTATTTAACCACAAGATTCTTTTGTTATTGTTTTTCTCATCATCTCCCTATAACCAGTGCTTCTTGGCACACACTTTGGGAAATACTACTCTACTTGTAACGCAGCCTGGAGATCTGACTCAGGTTCTCATTGCTTTCTTGACTCACGGTTTGATTTTGGCCTCATTACCCCCAGGCAAACCTAAGCTATGACCATCCAGCCATAAAACCTCTGCAGCAAGAACTGCCTCCCTTCCTTAAATATATATATTTTTAGTTGTAAGTGGCTTTTGCTATGGATAAAATTACCCTATAGTGGAGGAGGTGTGGTTGTGATGGTTGTATGGGGGATAGATTCCTCTGACCTTCTGGAAAATGTCCTTCTTTCAGAGGGTATCGAGAGTGAGGATTGAGGTTCAGCTCAGCTGGTGCCCTAAAACTCTAGGGATTGGTCAAGAGGAGACCAAGTAGGTAGACGTCTTGGCCTCATCATGTCTTTTGACACTGCTGACTGTGTTTTCCTTCTGAAGCTCTCTCCTGCCACAATTCTCTTCCTATCTCTGCATTCGTTCTCAGTTTGCATCTTTTTTTAACCCACTTAATTGTGGGTGTTTGCTGGAGTTCTCCTTGTCTTCTTTTCTCCATTGGCCCACTCTGTGATCTCAATCTATCTCATAAATTTAACTCCCACATATATGTTGAGGATTCCCAAATCTACGTCCAACTCAGCCCTCTCCTGGAGTTACAGACCTGTAGATAATTAGCTGTGTCTTGTTCCTCCTCTCTCTTTCCCCTGGGGAAACAAACATAACGAAACAATCTAATTCTCATTTGCCAGAGATGGACTGTGGGAGCTAAGGACAGAATGATGCGTTGATTCATCCATCTACCCATCCATTCCACAAGTACGAAGCTCCTGCTGGATGCTGAGCACTGGGTTAGGCACCAGGAACCCAAAGAAGAGTAAGACATGGTGCCCACTGTCAAAAGCCCAGAAAGATGACATATAATATAATGTGGTAAACACAATACTTGACACATATAAACAAAGTAGAATGGGCAGTAGAGGTGGGAATTACCAACTCTGCCTGTAGAAGACTTCACAGACAAGGTGCCTGGAGAAATTCCTAGAGGTCTCTGGATTTTTATGTATATGGGCATTCAAGCACATATAGATTGGTGGTAGGAAAATATTTACCAAGAGTGAGGGTGGGAGCCAACAGCTGGTGCTAAGAATGGTGGAGCAGGAAGAAAGGAGGACAGCGTCATTGCGATTATTGTGGAGCAACCATCTTGATCCTGAACTCCAAACTTCTTTTATAGGAGAGAAAAATAGACCACTCCTCATTTTTCACAGGAAGGGAGAGAAGGAGGAAGAGAAAGAGAAGGAGGAGGAGGGGGAGGAGGAGCAGAAGTGGAGGGACGAGGGGTGGAGGAGAAGGAGAAAGAAGAGGAAGTGGGAGGAGAAAAGGAGCCAGATAGAGAAGCCAGATAAAAGGACAAAGATTTATGTGACAATCTTTTGCCACCTACAAGTAATGCATGCCAGAGAAAGCAGATATTCTGGGGGAGAAGGATGCAATGGACACTTACAGAGAACCAGAGAGAAACAGATTATCCCCAACGTTCTCGACAGCAGATTCCCAGCCCTGCTGGGGGACAGTGTTTGAGAGATGAAAGTTAGCAGCACATCCACTCTGGGCGGGAGGTCACAGCCCCCTTGGACTGAAAGCCTCCACAGGACTCCCCTTTCCTCTCCCTCCAAGCCTAATGCCATCCTGGGGCTACTTGGTGTCCATCACCCCTGTGCTTTGCTCTGTTCTTCTCACAGAGCTGTCAGTTGACAGACTTCAGTGAGATCAGGGAAGGACTCCACTGGCCTTGGCTTGTATCCTCACAGGGATTCAAACACATCAAGGCACAGGGGAAATGAAAGCTTCTGCCTTTAACCCTGAAGGTCAGAGCCACCATGAGGCCAAGAACTGGCATGAAGAGAGTCACCTGTGCCACTGGAGATGGCCATGCCCACACAGCAATGCCCATTTTCGGAGGCAGAAGCTGTTCTCCACAGTGGTGGCTCCAGAATTCCTACAGGAGCTGAGAGTTGAAATACGGTAGGCAGGGAATCTCTAAGGGATTTTTTTGATGCTGCATTTGCATAGTATACCCATTGTTTTCACTTCAATTGTTTGTTTTGGGGTGGCTTGAGCAAGTGGGGCCTAATTCTCCCAACCACCTCTTGGCACTGTTACTGGTTGTATCAATGAGTGATTGCCACATAGTATTGTGTAACAAACTACCCCAAAACTCCTGTCTTACAACAGCAAGCATTTATTCCCACGCTCCCAAGTCTGAGCGTCTGCTGTGGATCAGCAGTGACTGCACTGAGCTCCAGCCCCAGCTGGGCTGGGCTTCTCCTATGGGCTGGGTTTGGTCTGTGTGTTCGCTCTGGGATCCAGGCCAAAGGGGCAGCAGATACCTGGAAGAAGCTCTTTTCATGGCCATGGCAGAGGAGCAGGAAGGCAATCCCAACTATCTGGGCTTGTGTTAAATCTTTTAGCAATCCTTGACCAAAGCAAGTCATACAGCTGAGCCCAAAGTCAAGGGACAGGCAAATATACTCTTGCCATGGAGGTGGAAGGGCAGGAGTGACTATTCTTGAACAACCAGCCATCTACCAGCCTAGTATTCATGAACATGCCTCCTTCCCCTGTACATGCCCAAGAACAGCATGAGAGGAGGATAGAAGTTACCTTTACCAACTCCATCTATCCTAAGCTCCCTCCTTCCAGGTCCAAATACTGTCTTCTCAGGCCACTTTCAGTTTCCTCCAAGGCAATACCTCTTAGCACGGACTGTCACATGCCATTGCTCAGGCAGTGCTAGCTGGTTCTGACAGAGCTGTCTTTTCAAGCAAGCCTTGCAGGGTACCTCGCTGCATGGCCTCCCAAAGATTGTGATTTGAATGAACGACTCCCAGAGTTTCAACACCACTAGCCCCAGAGAGCAATGATTATAACTCATAGTTTTATAACTTGCATTTGTTTGTTATCTATGCCCCCCTCCTCCAGACTATAAACTTTACAAAGCCAAAAGCTTGAGTCTGTTTTATTCACCACTAGTGGTCCCAACACCGGTCACAAAATTGGCACTCAAAAAATGTTGGTTAAAGAGATGAGTGAATAGGCCCTACAGCAACAGGTTCTATTGTGTTAGAGCCCAGGGTTTCAGTATTTCCCCGAATGCTGGCCATATGCCTCATCTGAACCCCTCTGAAAACTCCTCCTCTCCCTACCCTTTTGCCAAGTGAATGAAGATGGCTGGATTGCAAGGCTGAGCGTGGCAGAGCCTCCTCTTCACTGCCTGGGGTCCCTCCCAGTCCCTGCAGTGACCTCTGTTAGCAGGTTACCTGCCTGGACAGGTCACCTCTGCCCTGACCTACATGCCCTCCGTGGGTCTTCTGGCCTGATGAGAATCAAGGTGTCCTGATAGGCTGAGTATTGCCTTCCTGCCTAAGAGCGATCAAGGGTTCAGCTGTGAGGTTTCAGTGATTTTCTTCTCTCTCTCCCTCTCCTCCTTTTTCCTCAAGTGCAGTAGAGTAATCTGATGGTGGAGGATTTGGGGAGAGGCTCCTTCCTGGAACATCTCAAATCAAGGCCAAGTAAGCCCAAAGCACAGTTCTCTCCAGATTCGGGACTTGCCTCACGGGACCTGGGGCAAATGGCAGGTGGGAAATCAGGATACGTGCTGGACCTTTCTGAGGGCTTTAGAGCCAGGCAGATTGGGGTTCAAATCCCAATGCAACCACTTTCCTGACCATGTGACTGAGGACCAGTTTTGCAGCCTCTCTGTTCCTTGGGTCCCTCATTCATGAGGAGTGATGGTGCTGCCCTCAGTGCGCTTGTGAAGATTAAATGAGAGTCAATATCAAGTGCCCAGCACAGTGCCTGTCAAATAGCAAATGCTCTAAAAACGGTGTCCTTCCTCATTGCCATCCCAAATGTTTATTCATTCATCTTTTTTTTTTCCCTCTAATTTTTGCAATAAAGCCAGGTTAGAATAAATATCACATCAACCCAGAAGAAGATAGCAGATTAACCTGCAAAGTCTGAATTTGGAGGAAAGGACGGTCCCAGACATTTTTTTTTCTAACCTGCTCAGACTATGTGTCTGATAAAGCCTATGATGTATAAATTTAATTATTTAAAATATCATCTCACCTTTTGGAAGGCTTTCAGGTGTATTCAGGATTTGAATTCCATGATAAGCAAAAATAGGAAACATTTAACTTGCTACAGGATGTTGGGTGATATCAAGGATACATTGATAGAGAAGATTCTGGGTAGCTGAAACAGTGGTAGTGGTATAAATCTCAAAGTCCCAACGTATCACTGATGACAAAATGTCACCATGTTGTACTTCAAAACTGAGTATGGCAGGTGTTTTTTATACTGATGTGTTCTGTGTGTTCAATAAAATTTCAGTGCTGGGTTATAGTCATGTCAGAGAGCTCTTTAAGCATCACATGGTAGCACTTCCTTCCTCTCCCTCAGCTGGGTGCGTCCTGGGGGTGTCAGGGAGTGTTCTCAAGTTCAGCCCCAGCCTAGATGTCTCTCCTGATCTTCAGGCCTATGATGGGCCTGCCTGCTGTACCTCTCCGCTTGGATGTCCCATAAGCCCTTAACACCCGACACCTCCAAAGCAGAAGTTGTCATCTCCCCGAGTCTTGCCAATCTCCTTGTTTTCCTCTATCTTAGCTGTGGGCATCACCATCCACCCAGCCATACAGCCAGGAGTCACTGACCTGCCCTCTCTATCCCTCGCTTCCCATGTTTAACCAATCTCCAAGTTCATTCATCATCAACAAGCAGGTACTGGCCATCAGCTGGGCCAGGCACTGTCTTAGATACCAGGAATAGAGAAGTGAGCAAGCAAGCCCTTCAGCTTTTGGAGCTTTACCTCCCATGTATTTCTTGCCTTTGCCCTCTCCATCCTGCCTTTACTATCCCCGCCCTGGCTGAGACCTCCGCCACACCTAGGCTGTGACTCCAGCCTCCTTATCTCCCTGCCACTGGTCCCACCCTCTGAAGTCACTTTCATACCCTGACCAGTTTTCATTCCAAAATGCAAATCTGTGTCGCTCCCTGGCTAAATGCCCCTCATTTCCATTGACCCAGGTTCCTAGGTCCTCACAGCAGCTCTTCCATCTCCTTCCCTCAAGTAACACCAGAATATCAGACACTGACTGAAAGCTTGCAGGGGAAAGGACTAGATTACAGTCACGCATAATGTAGACGGCAACGTAAAAGCTTGTGTTAAATAGCAGTGTCCTAAAATTCTCCCATCCATTCCCTGCCTTCTGCTATAGCTCTCAGAGACCCCCCTTTGAGGTCTGCCCTGTCACAGGCTTGCCTCACCCTGAAGCCCACCGACATGTGCCCATCTTCTTTCCACTCACCAGCCCTAATTCCGGTCAGTTCCCTACGCACAGCAGTTTCAGTCTGCATTCTGTCACCTAAAGATCCGGGTCTACCTTTGGATATCCAAAACTCACAAATGAGTGAGAAAGTGCTGTCTCCCACAGATCTGCACCCTTTGGCAGCATACATCAGCAGCAGGAGCTCTGAACCCAGTTTCCCGCACACACAGACAGCAGTGAGCTCCCTCTCCCACCAGGCTCTGGGAGCAGGAAGCCCCCCAGGGTCAGTGGGGTTTGGTTAGTGGTTATTTTCTTAGAGATTTGTCAACACGACTTCTCGGCTAGGCTGGAGCTTCTGGGGACAGGGACTGACTTATCTTTACCTCCTCTGGATGAAGCAGTCAGTAAATGTTTGCTGAACAAATTAAAGAGCACATGAGTGGAACTAGCTCAGCTTAACAAACAGTGAGCTCGCAAGAAATATTTGTGGAATAATAGAGTGAATCAGTGGATGGCTGAATACATCCTAAACTGCTGTGCCCTTACCCCACTTTCTTCTTAGCAGGCTCAGAACTTTCTGTTTCTGACTCAGGCAGAGTCCTCATGACGTTTGGCTTGGTTTGACCTTGGGCTCTATGGAGTTTAATGGGTAAGGACTCAGGCTCTGCAATGAGATAGATGAAGGTCCAAATATCTGTCACTTAGGAATCCTGCCATGACCTTGGGCAGGGCACATGGCTTAAGTCTGAGTTTCCTCCTCTTAAAATTCAGAATAACAACAGTACTGATCTCAAAAGGTTTGGGGAAGGATCAACTGAGATAATCTATGTAACATACCTACCAAGTTGCCTTAACGCCTAGTACGCAGCAGGCACTCAGCAAACAATGGGTGTTGTTATTGATTATTGCCATTGTCTCCTCCTTCTTATCCATGGTGTCTGGGCTCCGTGAGAAGTTCTAAGC